CTGGGTGTTTTAACATAAACACAGGTACCTATTGGAAAGTGGTTTGGGATGTAAAACAATGGCATCAGGATGCCTTCGATGATTACTTCCACAATAAATATCCAGCACACACGCAGGCTTACACACAAAGGGAGATATTAGCCAGGTGCCATAGGACTAGTAGTTAGCACCTGATAAGGCAGCTACTGTGCATTCCTCAAAGTTGTATTTATTAATGTATATGGTAATTGTATTGATTGCATAAATGTAAATCTATACTGTATAGCGCTATAGAGTGGCCTATTCTAGCTAGATAGGGCGCTCTATCAAATGTTGTATATCGTAATTATAATCAAGGTGCTTTACTGTTTACTACCAGGCACGGTATTTTAGTGAGGTATCCACACCAAACCAGCACTATAGCATGGGGACGAATATACTAACATACCGCCTCCATACATATGTAACCGCATATATTTGCATACATAGACGCACATCCTTAAATCCTAGCTGTTAATATGATGATAACCCAATAACAAGAGGCCCATGGGCCTTAACGGTCACCTGATATATTTATACAGAGAGTTGATTTTGTTTTTTACCTGAACAGAAATATTATTCAAAGTGACAAAAAACAATAAACCAACCTTATTCAATATCTAGCATACATATTTCAGACTACAAAGTATTTGAAACTAGCACCTCTGATTCTAAACAAGGAAAATGAAGAAATTTTAGCACACTGACTTCTTTGAGCCCCACCCTGCAGCCCTTGGGGGTAGGGCTGGCTCAAAATTTTCAAAGTATCAAACTGTCAACTCAAGGTTATAATTCCAATCAAGTTATTAACATGTAAAAACCATAATAAATTTTGCCCCCCTTAACCATAATAAATTTAGCCCCCCCCCCCTCCTTCCCCAGGGGGTAAACGTGAGACCCTAGGGTCATAAACCTTAAGACCCTTCCATCTATGAAGAGTATTTGATTCTACCATATCTGGGTCTTGAGAAGAAGATTTTTGAAATTTCAGTAAATTCGACCCTTTTTGGCCCCACCCATCAGCCCCTGGGGGTCAGTCAGGGCTGATATGTGCTTATTATCAAACTGCTACCTAATACTGATAATGCTAACCCAAATTGAATTACTTCCAATGGAAATTAAACAAATGTTGGTCCAAAATGTGATTTCCCTATATAAACTATAGTAAAGTTTACCCCCTCCCCAGGGGGAAACGTGAGACCCCAGGGTCAAGAAATTCACAATTTCGGTAAAGCACCTTAAGACCCTTCCATCTATGAAGAGTATTTGATTCTACCATATCTGGGTCTTGAGAAAAAGATTTTTGAAATTTCAGTAAATTTGACCCTTTTTGGCCCCGCCCCTCAGGCCCCTGGGGGCTTGGGACTAAACCGGCCACTATTTTTTTTACCTTTGTCCATGAAAGGTCCCTGCAAAATTTCATTGACATTGGTTCAGGATTTTCGGAGAAGAAGTCGAAAATGTAAATTGTTTACGGACGCACGACGGACGACGGACGACGACGGACAAAAGGCGATCGCAATAGGTCACTTGAGACTTTGTCTCAGGTGATCTAAAAACTATAAGGATAACTAGCCGTTTCCAGCTATAAAACAACACTACATAATCATTTGATGTATATAACAAGGGTATCTAGCTATTCTGATGTGTTACAACTACGGTACCTAGCCACATTGAGGTGTGCAACTAGGGTACCTAACCAAATGTAGGTGTACAACCAGGGTACCTTACCACATTGAGGTGTACAACCAGGGTACCTAACCATATTTAGGTGTGCAACCAGGGTACCTAACCACATTGAGGTGTACAACCAGGGTACCTAGCCATATTGAAGTGTATAACAAGGGTACCTAGCCATATTGAAGTGTACAACCAGGGTACCTAGCTACATTGATGTGTAAAACCAGGGTACCTAACCACATTTAGGTGAACAACCAGGGTACCTAGCCACATTGAGGTGTACAATCGGGGTACCTAGCTACATTAGGGTACATGTACCTAGCTACATTGAGGTGTACAACTAGGGTACCTTACCAAATGGAGGTGTACAACCAGGGTACCTAACCACATCTAGGTGAACACCCAGGGTACCTAACCACATTGAGGTGTACAACCAGGGTACCTATCCATATTTAGGTGTGCAACCAGGGTACCTAACTACATTGAGGTGTACAACCAGGGTACATGTACCTAGCTACATTGAGGTGTACAACCACTGTACTTAGCTACATGTACATTGAGGTGTAAAACTCGGGTACCGTACCAAATGGAGGTGTACAACCCGGGTACCTAGCTACATTGAGGTGTACAAATAGGGTACCTAACCATATTGAGGTGTACAACCAGGGTACCTAGTCATATTGAGGTGTACAACCAGGGTACCTAACTACATTGAGGTGTACAACCACTGTACTTAGCTACATGTACATTGAGGCGTAAAACTCGGGTACCGTACCAACTGGAGGTGTACAACCAGGGTACCTTACTACATTGAGGTGCACAACTAGGGTACCTAGCCACTTTGAGGAGTACAACCAGCGTACCTAGGTACATTAAGGTGTACAACCAGGGTACCTAGCTACATTGAGGTGTTCAACTAGGGTACCTAACCATATTGAGGTGAACAACCAGGGTACCTAGCCATATTGAGGTGTACAACCAGGGTACCTAGCCACATTGAGGTGTACAACCAGGGTACCTAGCTACATTGAGGTGTACAACTAGGGTACCTAACCATATTGAGGTGTACAACCAGGGTACCTAGCCACATTGAGGTGTACAACCAGGGTACCTAGCTACATTGAGGTGTACAACTAGGGTACCTAACCATATTGAGGTGTACAACCAGGGTACCTAGCCATATTGAGGTGGACAACCAGGGTACCTTACCAAATGTAGGTGTACAACCAGGGTACCTTACCACATTGAGGTGTACAACCAGGGTACCTAACCAAATTTAGGTGTGCAACCAGGGTACCTAACTACATTGAGGTGTACAATCGGGTTACCTAGCTACATTGAGGTGTACAACTAGGGTACCTTACCAAATGGAGGTGTACAACCAGGGTACCTAACCAAATTTAGGTGTGCAATCAGGGTACCTAACTACATTGAGGTGTATAACAAGGGTACCTAGCCATATTGAAGTGTACAACCAGGGTACCTAGCTACATTGATGTGTAAAACCAGGGTACCTTACCACATTTAGGTGAACAACTGAGGTGTACAACCAGGGTACCTAGCCACTTTGAGGTGTACAACCAGGGTACCTAGCCATATTGAGGTGTTCAATCAGGGTACCTAGCCACATTGAGGTGTACAGTCGGGCTACCTAGCTACATTGAGGTGTACAACCACTGTTTTTAGCTACATGTACATTGAGGTGTAAAACTCGGGTACCGTACCAAATGGAGGTGTACAACCAGGGTACCTAGCCATATTGAGGTGGACAACCAGGGTACCTTACCAAATGTAGGTGGACAACCAGGGTACCTTACCACATTGAGGGGTACAACCAGGGTACCTAACCAAATTTAGGTGTGCAATCAGGGTACCTAACTACATTGAGGTGTATAACAAGGGTACCTAGCCATATTGAAGTGTACAACCAGGGTACCTAGCTACATTGATGTGTAAAACCAGGGTACCTTACCACATTTAGGTGAACAACCAGGGTACCTAACTCCATTGAGGTGTATAACAAGGGTACCTAGCCATATTGAAGTGTACAACCAGGGTACCTAGCTACATTGATGTGTAAAACCAGGGTACCTTACCACATTTAGGTGAACAACTGAGGTGTACAACCAGGGTACCTAGCCATATTGAGGTGGACAACCAGGGTACCTAGCCACTTTGAGGTGTACAACCAGGGTACCTTACCAAATGGAGGTGTACAACCAGGGTACCTAGCCATATTGAGGTGGACAACCAGGGTACCTTACCAAATGTAGGTGGACAACCAGGGTACCTTACCACATTGAGTTGTACAACCAGGGTACCTAACCAAATTGAGGTGTACAACCAGGGTCCCTAGCCACTTTGAGGTGTACAACCAGGGTAGCTTACTACATTGAGGTGCACAACTATGTTACCTAGCCACATTGAGGTGTACAGTCGGGGCACCTAGCTACATTGAGGTGTACAACCACTGTTTTTAGCTACATGTACATTGAGCTGTAAAACTCGGGTACCGTACCAAATGGAGGTGTACAACCAGGGTACCTAGCCATATTGAGGTGGACAACCAGGGTACCTTACCAAATGTACGTGTACAACCAGGGTACCTTACCACATTGAGTTGTACAACCAGGGTACCTAACCAAATTTAGGTGTGCAATCAGGGTACCTAACTACATTGAGGTGTACAATCGGGTTACCTTATCACATTGAGGTGTACAACCAGGGTACCTTACTACATTGAGGTGCACAACTAGGTTACCTAGCCACATTGAGGTGTACAGTCGGGGTACCTAGCTACATTGAGGTGTACAACCAGGGTACCTAACCACATTGAGGTGTACAACCAGGGTACCTTACTACATTGAGGTGCACAACTAGGGTACCTAGCCACTTTGAGATTTACTACCAGGGCACCTAGCCACTTTGAGATTTACTATCAGGGCACCTAGCCACTTTGAGACTTACTACCAGGGCACCTAGCCACTTTGAGACTTACTACCAGGATACTTTGAGAGTCTGGTTATATTTTGTTACATTATGATACCAAAATCATCAACAACTGTGTATTTATTGTACTTGGATTTTGATCAATTTTAAACTTGGCCTTGGTTTTGGATATTGCTCAAGTTTTCCATGTCTCATGAAAAAGCATGCTGTTTTGCAGAAAATAAATTGTGGACAGTTGTTTTCCATGTGATAATATGTCCTGTCAGAAATAAAACGTTTGTGACAACTAGATAAGCACAGACATAAATTCATAAAATCAAAGTGTATTCTAAATGACAACAAAATATTTGGAATAGTATACTCACATTTAATAAAAAGCAAAAAAATCACAAAACAATTGTCAGTACATTAAGCTTTTGGTTGATATTCAGTGCCACCGTACCATAAAACAGTGGCATGATTTGAGTGAGCAGAAAACTAGTAGGTGTGATGTACATCAATATAAAATGAACGCTTTCCATGTGTTTTTCAATTTTATAAAACTACAAAAAAATCAACATACCTGTGGTATATATACTGCGATGTGTACAATTTCAAAGCAACAAAACTGGTCCTGCACCAGAACTTAAATTGAAATTAGATCTTCGTATCGCTCCTGCTTACTGATCATATGTTGTGTAAATGGTCGCGATGGGAAGATATAATTTCAATTAGATTGATAGTATATTAAGTGTCTCTGTGCTGAAGGCTATTGGCAGCCCTCCTATCCGTACATGTACAACAATGATTATATTGCTACAACCGATACTGTAAACATGTTATATTATAGGAAGCTGGTTTACAGGAGTGTTCACTGTGTCTTTAGGTAATAATACATAATATATATAAACTTTGAATGTAAACAATCTCAGAAAGTTTAAGTAATGTATTGAGTCCCTTAGCTTGATCAAACAACAAAAGCAAAACTGAGTTCAAACAGTTTCTTACACAAACCAAAAACTTACTGTGTATAACTCCAATACAAAACATTGATGGGTGGGTCATATGCTCACAGATTTTCATTGTTATCACAGTGTACACTGTTACCTAGCTGAACCACACCCTCAGGTAAGTTGATAAGGTAGTTGTAATACAATCTCTCCTACACCGGCTGTCTCACTTCCTCTAGTAACCACCTCTCCCCCAAAAAGGTAAAAAGGGGAAAAGAACTCCTGAAGGTTTAGTGGGTCATTTTACAGTAATTTTTTATCATGTGTAACAAAAAAGAGAAAATGTAGCGGCCAAACCAGGGTTCAAACCTGGGACCCTCCGAACTCTAGACGGACGCTCTACCAATTCAGCTACCTGGTTGCCAATGATAGACCCAGTCCTGTTCCGCTACATTCCTCCCTCCTTTTTCTAAGTATTTGCCTCTGAAGACAAAACGTATTTACAACCCAAGTTGGGCTATTATCTTGCTAAGCGTACCCCCAATGCTTAAAACAAGGGTTGACAAGCTCGCTAGGAGAAAGAGAAAATGTAAATGCCGGACTGGGGTTCAAACCTGTGACCTTCCGTACTCTAGACGGATGCTCTACCAATTGAGCTACCTTGTCACAGAAGATCAACCCTGTCCAGTTGTGCTACACATGTAACAATAATATGCCCTTATGATTGCCAGACTCGTGGGCTGAAACACTTCAGCAACAAGGCTAAAGAAGAATACATATACGGAAAAACGGCTTCAGGAGTTGCTACTTCTTTTTACCTTCATTTTCGGATTGAAGAGGACTTTGTATACCGCAAGGTATCCCCCTCAAACTGAGAAGACTAAATATAAGACAAGTGGACTTGTTGGATAAAGTTATCGGGGATATTTCCCGACTCCTGTCCCCATCAAGTGATCCTACAATAAGGTATGGGAAAGAGTTGTAAAAAAATGATTACATATGTATTTAGACACACACTTACTCTCTTAACCGCAATTATTAATATGGATCAATATTACCATTTTGTAGTAATAAATAAATAATAATAATAATAATATATAAATATAAAAAAAATATAAACCTTATTTATTTACAACAATTATGAAACAAATTTTTACAACTTATATTAGTCACTCTTGTTGGCCCGGATGTTCGCCTGAATGTTAGTCCTATTGAGGGAGGAAATCAGAATCCCCGGAGAAAACCCACGTGGTCAGGCAGGTGACCCCATACCTTTTCACGTCGGATTGGGGAATCACACCTATGCCGCCTTGGTGAAAGGTAAGTGCGCTATCCACTGCGCCATCCAACCACCAAATAATAATCACAACCTAGTTCCTAAATTGTCTCAAAGCAGTTTAGTCATGATTAAAAAAGTGTACTAGATTAAGTAAAAACGTCAATAACTATTTTTGAAAGCATTGCAGTTTAACTTCAGTTAATTAAATAGTAGCACTGTTACTAAACACATAGTAGATAAAAAAGTTGTAAAAATTCCAAAAAACATCAGACTTAAACATCAATATTCAGGTATGTGTATTATGCTACACAATTCATAAAATTGTATCTTACCCCGATATGAAATATGATCAGGGTTAAAATATCTATTATTTGATGTTTCCTTGCAATGGTTTGTATCACACATCTGTAGCTAATTGCAAGAAATAGATTGTATTTTCTATATTGATTTTCAGAAAACAAAAAACATAAAAGCACTACAAAAAAACAATCACATCACTTATGCCGGATTTTTTTGTCTTACTGTTGTCTTGGCTTCAGGAATTTTTCAATCAATGCTTTCATAAATGTAGGCAGGAGGAAGTCCATCAAAACTATGAGTACAACGAAAAGTATGAGTGGTCCCATCAAAGATTTCCCGATGATATCCATCTTCCTGTCACAAATATTGGTCAGATGGCTATCATAAAATCCATTTGGCCTCCGTGACCTATGTTGGTCATAGGTTGTACAAATACTCAGCAGGTCCTTGCTGGAGATGGAAGGGGCTAGGCATACATTGACGAAAAGGGCAATAATGATTCCTTTGATTGCGTAAGTCACAAGCAGGACAGGTAGAGATGTTTGAGGCCCGATGGGCTGGTCTGGTATAGGTATAGCTCCTGGTTGTGTTGGAGCTTCAGGAATGGTCTCTGGTTCCCTAGGGGGCTTCTTGCTCTTGGGATATATGTCGGTAAATTTTTCATGTCCAGCTTGTACCTCATACACCGAGTCCAGGATCTGCAAAATATTTTTTATAAATGAGTCGCTACTTAGATTCAGGAGTCACAAATCCTGAGGATTAATGTCCACACAGGTAAAACACAACACTTGTAAAAAATAGTAACAGCACCTCAGCTCAGTTTGACAATTCTTAGACAACAATTATTGTCATCTTGGATTCTAAAGTGACACAATAAACAGCAACATTTTAAGAAGATTCTTGGTCAATATGGCTGATCAGGAGGACTCCTATGGGAAGGCCTGATGGGGCAATAAGAAGAATCGTATTTTCCATCCAAAGGAAAATCAAAACTTATTTGAGAACCATCTTGGCAGGCATCACAGCATGAAAGACTTGCAATTGTAGCCCACTCCTAAGACCTGTATTTCAACACGAGGTCAAGGTCAAACAGAGGTGGTTGTGTTCCCATTCCAATACATAACATCACTGTTAGTAGCATGCAATTACATGTAAACTGATCTGGTGAAAGTTGAGATAGTGAGCAAATGCTGAAGTCATGAAATCAGAGACAGAGGTCAGTCATTACATATTTTGAATTGCACCAAAAATAGCAACTATTTTGCCATGGCTATTTCAGATATTTGTAAGAGGTTAAGTGAGCCAGGCTTGCTAAATAATTCTGTTTAAGTCACAAATGGGGCAGTGGAAAGAATACAAGAAAAAACAGTTATATCCTACCTGTCTGAGGAATTTCAGGGCAGGAACATCAATTTTTGGCAGATACGTTTCCAGGCGTTCATCAGCTTTATCCACGTCACTACAGTAATTAGACAGCCGGGCGTAACGCTGTGTGGCACCAACCAAACCCAAACATTCAAGGAATTGTTCCTCTCTATCCTTGAACTCTGATGATTTAAGATCAACTCCATCAATTTTGGTCAAAATTCCAAAGACTGGGATTGCTGTGGAAATATTAAGGTTAAACAATAACTTTGTGTTGTTGCTGGAGTAACTAGGGTCGATATTGGGGAAATGGAATGGAATGGGGGGTTAACTAGGGCCAATGGTAGGGAAACAGATGGGGGTTGGGAAAACTAGAGTCAATGAAAAGGAAATCAACGGGTGTTAGGGTATCTAGGGCCAATGGTTGGGAAATTAATGGGGTCAGAACACTAGGGTTTATGGTTGGGAAATGGACGGGGGTGGGAGTAACTAGGGTCAATAGTGGGGAAATGGATGGGGTTGGGGTAACTAGGGTCAATGGTAGGGAAATGGTTGGGAATGGGTTAACTAGGCTCAATAGTGGGGAAATGGATGGGGATGGGGTAACAAATCAACGGGTGTTAGGGTATCTAGGGCCAATGGTTGGGAAATTAATGGGGTCAGAACACTAGGGTTTATGGTTGGGAAATGGACGGGGGTGGGAGTAACTAGGGCCCATAGTGGGGAAATGGATGGGGTTGGGGTAACTAGGGTCAATAGTGGGGAAATGGATAGGGATGAGGAGTTAGGGTGCTTTCATATACCACATCTGATGTGAAATCCAAATTTTTAAGAAATATTGGCATATAATTTGTTTAATGGGATCAGAAAAAGAGCAACAGAAACAATAGTGGGGAAATGGTTGGGAATGGGGTACCTAGGGTCAATAGTGGGGAAATGGATGGGGATGGGGATGGGGTAACTAGGGTCAATAGTGGGAAAATGGATGGGGATGGGGTAACTAGGGTCAATGGTAGGGAAATGGTTGGGGATGGGGAAACTAGGCTCCATAGTGGTGAAATGGTTGGGAATGGGGTAACTAGGGTCACTAGTGGGGAAATGGATGGGGATGGGGTAACTAGGGTCAATGGTAGGGAAATGGTTGGGGATGGGGAAACTAGGCTCCATAGTGGTGAAATGGTTGGGAATGGGGTAACTAGGGTCACTAGTGGGGAAATGGATGGGGATGGGGTAACTAGAGTCAATAGTGGGGAAATGGATGGGGATGGCGTAACTAGGGTCAATAGTGGGGAAATGGATGTGGATGAGGAGTTAGGGTGCTTTCATATACCACATCTGATGTGAAATCCAAATTTTTAAGAAATATTGGCATATAATTTGTTTAATGGGATCAGAAAAAGAGCAACAGAAACAATAGTGGGGAAATGGTTGGGAATGGGGTACCTAGGGTCAATAGTGGGGAAATGGATGGGGATGGGGATGGGGTAACTAGGGTCAATAGTGGGAAAATGGATGGGGATGGGGTAACTAGGGTCAATGGTAGGGAAATGGTTGGGGATGGGGTAACTAGGCTCAATAGCGGGGAAATGGTTGGGAATGGGGTAACTAGGGTAAATAGTGGGGAAATGGTTGGGAATGGGGTAACTAGGGTCACTAGTGGGGAAATGGATGGGGATGGGGTAACTAGAGTCAATAGTGGGGAAATGGATGGGGGTGGGGTAACTAGGGTCAATAGTGGGGAAATGGATGGGGTTGGGGTAACTAGGGTCAATGGTAGGGAAATGGTTGGGAATGGGTTAACTAGGCTCAATAGTGGGGAAATGGATGGGGATGGGGTAGCTAGGCTCAATAGTGGGGAAATGGGTGGGGTTGGGGTAACTAGGGTCAATGGTAGGGAAATGGTTGGGAATGGGTTAACTAGGCTCAATAGTGGGGAAATGGATGGGGATGGGGTAACTAGGGGCAATAGTGGGGAAATGGATGGGGATGGGGTAACTAGAGTCAATAGTGGGGAAATAGATGGGGATGGGGTAACTAGGGTCAATAGTGGGGAAATGGATGGGGATGAGGAGTTAGGGTGCTTTCATATACCACAGCTGATGTGAAATCCAAATTTTTAAGAAATATTGGCATATAATTTGTTTAATGGGATCAGAAAAAGAGCAACAGAAAACTATAAGTTATAGAGAAGGGGTGTCACTTTACCGATGGGAGGAGGGATTGCTTCTTCATAAAGGTGTTTTGGTCATAAAACCAACAAATCTGTTGCTAACAAACTTACCCCTTTTTCCTTTTCCGGCTTTAGCTCCAACAGGATTGGCAGCTGATATGACACATTCAATGAGTCCAACTGGAATGTTCGCTCTCGCTGAGGCCACAACAATGATTCTGTCAACCTTGAGTAACTCAAGATTCTGGGAGTATTTCTTCCTTAGGCCCATCATACCTGTTTCTTTGTACTCTTCCTGGGCTGCCTACATGTAGCCAACCAAAATAACAAGAGCAACTGGATATTAAGCAATCATGGCAAAAGACTCTCAATGAAAGTAGTATAGCAAATAAGATCTTAATGATAGGGCCAATTCCCTAGGCCAATCCTAGCCTGCCACTATATGTGTATCAAAATTTTCATGCTCAGTAATTGTATAAATTAAAATAGGGCGGGGATCTCAAAGGTTTCCATGTTATGACACAGGGACAGAGTCCCAAAGGGTGTGGGCAGACCCAAGGGTCAACTATAATACATGTACCATAACTGTATTTTTATTCATTTATGCCCAGCAATTGTAAATATGGCAAAAGGGTGGGGATCTCAATAGTTTCAAAGTTATATACAAGGAACAAGCCCCTGGGGGTGTGGCCAGATCCCAGGGTCAATTCTTATTTCAATATAATATCACTTTGTGATTGTATATATACGGTTATGGGGTGGGGATCTCATCTGTTTAAAAATTATGACCAATCAACTTAGTCTCAATGGGCGGGGATAGACCCTGGGCCATTCGAGTAGAATATGTGTACATTGTATTTGTCTCTTTATACTTAGCAATTTTATATATGGTAATAGGGTTGGGATCTTGATAATTTCCATGTTGAAAATTTGATTTGGCCCTGCTCCGCAAAACCCTGGGGGTGGGGTCAGCCCTTCAAATGGTAAAATTTGAAATCACACCAATTGATAATGCATCCAACCAAAGGACTTGGAGCGTTATTGGTCAATTTTGGCCTCATAAGAAATGAAAATTGAATCTATTTGCTAATTCCTGCTATAAACAAAATATTTGTTATTTGGGGCTATCTTTTATGGTGTAGATTTTTTTCCAGTGCTCATGCGAAGATACCCTACCATAGCAACGAAACTGTGTTGCTACGCAAGCAGAGATGGCCAAAATTCAGTGGTTTTGATCTGTTAGTATGTAGAAATAAAAGCCTCCGCATGTGACAAAAATTCCTTTCTACGAATGAACACTGGTATAACAATGTTTAAGCATGTCAATTATTTGTTTGTGGCTGGCGGAGGCTTTAAAAAATTGCATAATTGAAGAGCGTTTAGTTAATTTCCTTCGAAATGGACACCGGTGTTGATATTCACACATTTTATTATGAAGACGCATGTTTATGTCTCTCTTTGTAATGCCATATCTCCTAAACTAGTTGTCGAATGAATTTGAAATTTATAAATGTGCGTGCTACATTTATTCCAGATTACGAATATAACAACTAATTATAAATCCCTGATGAGCCCGGAAATGACCCTTTACACCTCTAGTCCTTTGTTTGATATTCATCCCTTAAGTCCAGAAAAGAAAACACTTAAAGCAATATGGTCCAAGTGCCCTTTTTGGCCCACCCCTCACTGCCTCAGTCCCCGAGGGGAACAGCTCCTCCATTTGTACACTTCTGAATCCCCACCACATGAGAACACTTCCAACCAAATATAGATGATACCCATCTCCTAATTCCAGAGAAGATGTCACATTCATTATAGCCAAATTACCCATTTTTGGCCCCATCCTCAGCCTCCCGGGGGTGAACACCTCCATTTGAACTATTCTCAATTCAAAACACCTGAGAATGCTTTCAACCAGATATGTTTGATATCCATCTCTAAGTTCCAGAGATGAAGTTGCTTAAATCAATATGGCCATATGACCCATTTTTGGCTCCACCCCTCAGCCCCCTGGGAGGTCAGACCCTCCACTTCTATAATTTTTAATACTCACCACCTTACAATGCTTCCAGCCAGATATGATATATATCATTTAGTTTCAGAGAAGACATTTTGAGCAGCATGGTCAAATGACTCCCTTTTGGTATGCCCCTAACCCCTCTGGGGGGTCAACCCCTCCGTTTGTAAAATTCTGAATACCCACCACTTAAGAACTCTATTGCGATGGAGAGATAATTACAAGTAACAGAGCCAAATTAACACCTATCCTGGTTTTACTTAATTCCCCTTGTGATTATACCTTTAAGCTGTCTTCGGCAGGTAGACGTCCATAGAAGACGATTCGTAATAATTCTCTGTTCAAGTCGTCATTTATATCGTCAAAGCCAGCAATGTCAATGAATGTTGGATAGCATGCATCAGGGTGGACAGGTGCCTTGAAGCAGCTCTTGGGAAAGCTTCAAAAACAGAAAGTCGAAAGTTACAATTGGCTGAATAAAATGTTATCAGCTCTGTATTGTACTGAGCTATTTATCTGCTGTAAATATTCCGCATAGAAAACATGTATACATAAACTTTATCTGTTTTATGTCAGTAATGCATTAAGTGTTATTAACTTATATGGATCACTGTTGTTGGCCCAGATTGTGATGTGTCAGATATTTTAATACAGGAAAATTGAGAACCCTGAGAATTCCACATGATCAGGCAAGTGTCCCCATTATTACCCGTTTCGTGTTTGATCAAGGAATCAAATACCTGGCTATCTTGGTCAAATGCTTGTGTGCTATTTATTGTACAATCCTAGATATATTCGAAATCAAATCCTGACAACAAACCATACAGCAGGATATTTCAATGACATTGTGGGTCAATATTGTGATTGCGAAAAATATGATCTGCAGAATAATATGACAAGTGTAAAAATGAGCAGCAAAAACAAATTTCATAACCCTGATGTCGTCATGATTAAACGACATTACTGTTGACTTTAAATAATTTGTACACTAAATCTGGTTATTCCAGGTGAAATAGTATAGAAGATGTGTTCCGGAGAAACTTTTTCAAAAGTAAAGGTCAAAGGTCAAGTGTAAAAGATGTGGATTCATTAGGCTGCCTTACAAGCGTCAGCGGTAGATCATTTCCCTTTAGCTCAGCGGTAGAGCATCGAGCTGGGGAGCCAATGGTCGCAGGTTCGAGCCCCAGCGAAGGCACTATCTTTATCACTATTCCTCGTCCTGCTACACAAGTCATAGGTCACAGTGACTTAATTCTTTTTTGTATTTTAAAACAACAACATTAAATAAATTGATTGGGAGTGTGAAGAACTTAAAGAAAAAAATGTGGATAAAATGAAACAGTGTTTCAGGTAAGACTAGGTGCAAAATAGTATTAGTAATAGTATTACTAGTATATCTAAATCCTAAACAAATAGTACTCTTTGCCTTAAGACTATAATTAATATATTTATATTGCTGTGATATCTTCAAATAAACAGTCTGAAGAATCTCCTAGAAGAGATGAAAGTACTTAAGACTCGTTGTTAAGAATTTTTCTTTATACAATATATATATATATATATTTATTTATAATCCAATAAATCAAATAACATCATAAAAATTGACTTATTGACAAACAGAATTTTTCAAATGGAAGCTGTCAATTTCACATCAAAGGTTTTGCTTTAAACATATTTAAAACTTTAATTATATGTAATATTTTAGAGGTCATTATTTTTTCAATGCCACTGCTAGGAGTTGAACCTGGGAACTTTGGTTTATTAGTCTTACGCTTTAACGAATGAGCTGAAGAGAAATTCTCTATTTCCTAGTTGGTAGGAAGCTGCTAGTATCTTACAAGGGTGACAATTACATTTTCCAATCTGATTGGGCCATCTTTTTATTTAATGCTAGGACAAATACCAAGTTTCATGTGTAACGGAACTGGACTGGGTTGATTGTGGGCAACCAGGTACATGTAGCTCAATTAATAGAGCGTCCATCTAGAGTTCGGAGGATCCTGGATTTGAACCCTGGTCTGGCAGTGCTTTTTCCTGCCCCTATTTCAGGTGACAGACAGATCGAATGGGGGGGGGGCACCCTGGAATGTGGTCCAAGAATTTGTTATCTTGTTACATTTCTGTACCATTTACTCATTCACCCCTGCATGCAGACACATTTGAACTCATTGAAATTGTTTATTATGAAATTTCAGGGGTGAATGAGTTAACAGTATATACAAATCCTGCAGACAAAGCAAATTTGTTCAAACAAACCTTTTAGTGAGATAGGTCATCTGTTGTGCTTGTCCGCCGAAATTACCAGAAATAGCATATTCCCGATATTTGTCGTTGTTCATCGCAGTTATAAGAGTGTTTATAGTGGAACTCTTCCCGACTCCAGGAGGCCCAATTATGGCCACATTAAGCGGGTTTCTGCTATCAATATCGGGACCAAGTTCTTTGGCAATATCATTGTTCAACTTCTCTCTCCTTCGTTTAATCTCAGCTTCGGGATCCTCCATTCTTCGTCGACGACGCGTGGACCTGCTTGTATCAGTGTCTGTATCTGATGTGTTGTCACCAAAGGAATACACATACCTGTTTGAAGTAGGTTTCTGTCTACCGTCCTTACCTCCCATGTTGGTGCCTTCAATAAAGCAAAAAGAGAAGCATAAATAAAGCAAAAAGATGTTTAAAATAAACCCAGGAAATATTATTATTATTATTTTTTTATTCTTAAAGGCCCTTCAACACAGAAGTGGTAATTAATAGGGCCAATAAAAATAGACACAGCATCACAAGTGATACACATCCCCTCCATTCACACATTGTGTGACATAGTGATACTCATCCCCTCCACTCACACAGTGTGTGACATAGTGATACACATCCCCTTCACTCACACATTGTGTGACATAGTGATACAGATCACCTCCACTCACACATTGTGTGACATAGTGATACACATCACCTCCACTCACACATTGTGTGACATAGTGATACACATCACCTCCACTCACA